GAGCCTGCTTCCTCCTCTCTCTCTGCCTGCCTCTCTGCCTGCTTGTGATTTCTCTCTGTCAAATAAATAAAATCTTTAAAAAAAAAAATTTAGAGGAATACAAAAATACATAGCTCCCACTGAGGTAAAAAAAAAAAAAAAATAACCATTAGTGATATTCAATCCAAAATTAGCAGGCATACAAAGCAGGAAAATCTGACCCAGAACTAACATAGATATTAGGAGTGACAAAGACATAAAAACAGTTACTCTAGGTATATGTTCAAAGAATATTACAACAATGGATGATAATAGGAGAAAGAAATTGAAATTCGTATCAAGTAGTAGAAAGATGATGCGTAGCTTGCTTTAGCAATAGAGACGTACCACATGGGGTAACATCAGACTTAAAGGGGATTCTAATACAAGATCTGAAGATGCTTTAATTTTTTGACAACTGTAGTTCTGAAGAAAGGAGACAAAGCTGTGGCTACTGAATTAAGGGACAGACAATACTATTATGTCTGCTGCTTTAATACCTACCCACCTTTTCATGTTAGTACAAAAAGATTCATGAAGATCTAGGAAGAAGAATCAATCTGGATTCTGACCAGTGATCCCAAAGTATCAGAAACAGGTTGAGACTCGGGAAGGGGCTCAGAATTGCTGTAAGTTCTCATTTTCTAGAGTGGTTTTAATAAGCCAAAGCAAATAATGTTCACTTCCTCTCAAACTTGTATAATTACTACACATTTTCAAATTCATCCCATCTTTTGTTATAAAGTCATTTTAAGACAAAACCACTCTCTCACACTGTAAGTCATTTTGCTTTTCTTTCTTGACAACTTTTGGGGGGGGGCTGTAGAGGGAGAGAGAAAATCTTAAGGGCGGTTCCACACTCAGGACAGGGCCCTGAGATCACGACTTGAGCTGAAATCAAGAGTCAGATTCTTAACCAGCTGAGCCACCCAGGCACCCTGCTTTTTAGACTTTAAAATTTCAGCCAGAAGGATCTGATGTTCCAGAGTGATAGGATTAGTTGTAGCTAACACTAGTATCAAGAGCTGTTCTATTCCACTTGGGAGTTTAGAGGAAAGACAAGGAATTGTGAGCTCATCTCCCCCCGAGTGGCATCACTGGATTTCAGATGGTTGTCCTTCACTTTTTATTAGCCCAGTGAGCTTGTTGGTTGCAATTTCTCTCAGTCTCTTTACTGATAGACTTCTCATTCTTTTTTTTTTTTTAAGATTTTATTTATTTATTTGACAGAGAGAGAGAGATCACAAGTAGGCAGAGAGGCAGGCAGAGAGAGAGGGGGAAGCAGGCTCCCTGCTGAACAGAGAGCCCCATGTGGGGCTCGATCCCAGGACCCTGGGATCATGACCTGAGCCGAAAGCAGAGGCTTTAACCCACTGAGCCACCCAGGCGCCCCTAGACTTCTCATTCTTAACAGATCTTTGGGCCTCAGTTTTATCTCAGGGGTCTGTGGTTTATACAGACAGCCAGAGCTTGTTTACTCCAAGACTCTCAGAAACATCTAGCTATAGATTACTGGTTTTCTTCAATAGTTTTGAATTTCATGGCTTTTTCTTATTAAATTCCCTAGTTCAGATTAGATCCAGTAACAAAAAGGAGACAAGGCTCTTACTTCAGCTCTTGGGTCTACCTCAGGGTACTCTTTGAAAGTTGAGCAAAATGTCTGAGAAATTTGACTGTTGGATGGTATTTGGCATCTCCTCAAGAGCACTTACTCTGGACTCCTGGG